TTCCATTTTTCCCATGTAATCATTTTTGTTCATGAGAACTATACCTCCTCCTTTATCTGGTTTGGTTATGGTCAGGGTTTCATCTTTTCTTAGTTTCATTAAAGAGTCTCGGTGCTGCTTGGTTAGTAGGTGATTTGTGGTACCCTTACTATTCTTGTATTGTTGGCAGCTATCAACTAGTGTGGTTTTAAACCGAGCAAGGTCCTCTAATGAGGTAGAAATCAAGTCAGTTGTTTGTGAAAATAAATTCTCAAACTGTACATCAGTATCTAATTGGTTGATTCTATGCCTACTATCACAGAATTTAGGTCCAAGAGATAAAGCTTCTAGCTGTATTACATCTAGTTCAATATTGGAAAAATTATGTACGTACCGTTTCGGGTCGAAAGGGAACTCCTTTTCTGGCTTTTGGTTTTCCAAAGTTTTCATTAATTTTGTTAAAGTTTTCTCAGATCTATTCTTGGAAATTTTTCCCACATAATCCATAAACATTGACTGAAGCTCTGAAGGAAGGTTTTTAACGGAATATTGTCTTTGAAGAAGATTCTTTTCGAAGTCGCAGATATTCATTTTTAAAGTATCAATTTGATTCGACGCATGTCTTTCAAGTGTTTTTGCGTTAGGATAGATTCGGTTACGACGTAAAGACTTCCAATATATTTTAGGATATCTATTAGATTGTATACAATTAATAGCAAATTCTAAGCTCGTTTTCGCTTCTGTGAGACGTGCATTAAACTTCAGAAACTCATTGAGTGTCTTAAATGCAACAGGGTCCCCACGTGATTTTAGAATATTAAAGATTCCCATTGTGAAAATTAGAACAACACATATAAGCGAACAATTGTTTTCAATTAGATCGTCATCAGGCTTTACTCTAATATACATGAATATTTATACGAAAATGTTAAACCAATCAAGGCAATATGAGTCAATAATCACAATGAAATAAAATAAGTCTCTAGGTAAAAGTACAAGTTGATAGTAGGAAGACAGGTGAACTGATAATAGTGAAAATAATAAAATACAATAACAAAACTCTTATCAATAATTAAACGTTGGAAATAGAAGGTCAAATAAACATGGGTAAATAGACTAGGAATAGTAATCACAAAACATTAAAATCATTACGTAATAAGATGTGTGTAAATAATTAGATAGTGAAGAATACAAAGAGGCGGAAAATTACAAACAAATAATGGATGTGAAAATAAGGTCAATGATAACACAAATAAAATAAAATGAATAAGGATAATAATAAAATAAATAAATAAAAAGAATTGTTAGTTAAGTTATAACTGGCCATGGAAGGGATAGGGGGGTCACGTATTTCTTCTGTACACATAAATTGGGGTTATATGTACGAATTCCAATGGCTTCAGCTATATATAGGAGACGGGAACGGACTCCGTCGGAAAATGATGGAGGTATACGATAGATAACTCGAAAAGATTTCGATTTATCTACTGCATGACCGCTATCAATAAGATGTGCCAATATAGAACTCCGAATAGATTTCCTCTGGCCCTTTATGTACCAAGTTGGTAGATGTTCACTCATTCGTTGGTTAAGTTGCCTGGTAGTACGCCGTATATAGCTATCTCCACAGGAGCAGCTGAATTTGTAAATGCACATGGAAGAGGCCAACTCAGGTAACTTATCCTTCGTTTGAGTAGACATCGCTGGTCGACAAGAGAAGGTCAACGCCAGATTGGCTGCGTAGAATGTCCTGGTGATTACTTTGGTTAATCTATATTTCAGAGTGTCACTAGCCACATCCCCGTTGAATTGCACTTTCATGTATAAAGGTTTCTTACGAACAGTCGAAATCTCCGACTTTTTTATTATATCATGCATGTACTTCCTAATGAACGCGCTGGGGTAGCCGATCTCGGTCAGTGAGTTGTTGATAAATTCAAGCTCCTGACTTAGAGTGTCTACTGTACAGATCTATTTTTGCTCTGCTAGTGAGACATCTGACCAAATTTCTCTTGTAACGGATAGGTGTGAAACTGCAGAAGTGAATATATTGGCATGAAGAGGGGTTTCTTCTATACACGCTTCTACTTAGTGTGCCGTCACTTCGTCTGCTTAGTGTGACGTCAAGGAAGTTCAGTTTCTTATCATGCTCGCTTTCACCAGTGAAAGTGATCGCTGGGTGGACACTGTTAAATTGTTCTAGGAGTTCCTCCTTACTGGTGTTTTGATCTACGATAATGAAAGTGTCGTCAATGTAGCGGCAATATAAATCAAGTTTCTGAATAGGCTCATTGAGAGGTCCATTTTCTAGCTTTGCTAGGAAGAGATCAGCTAAAATCGGGCCTAGAGGCGAGCCCATGGCTATCCCGTATGATTAGTAGTATTAGCAGTAATACTAGTAATACTATAAGTTTTAGTATGAGTAGTATTATGCGTAGTATTGTTATCAGTATTATAAGTAGCAGTATGAGTAGTAGGACGAGTAATATTATTAGAAGTATCATTGGTAATATGAATCGTATTAATAGTAGTTGTATTATTAGTTGTACGAGTAGTTGTATGTGTAGTATTATTAGTAGTAGTATTAGAAATAGTACGGGTAGTAGCTTGAATAGTAGTATGAGTAGTATTATTGATAGTAGTATTAATAGTAGTGTGAATAGTAGTATGAGAACTAATATTATTAATAATACGAGTAGTGTATGAGTAGTTGTATGATTACTAATACGAGTAGTAGTGTGAGTATTAGTATTATTATTAGTAATAAAATTCGTTTTAATGGTACTATTAGTAGTAGTTGTATATTTCTCAAAGTCCTGATAGCCACTTGTTTGTGCAATGGGGTGAAGTTTGTATTCACTTGGTGTTATTTTAAATGTATCTTCCTATTGTTATCTAGCACTACAATTGATCAGTCTCTTGTTGATATATGTGTATCCTGTGTGGATTACTTCGTTATAGCCTTAAGTCAGAAGCATTGTAAGCAAAGATAGAATCCAGTTGACAAGTCCCAAATAGGACGAAACACATGTCCTAGATTACACTATCAGCCGCCCTACCGTACATAAAAGGAATATCAGAAACCGCAACGAGACTGCTGAAAAACTTCGGGATAGGTGCGGCGCACAAACCAACAAAATCACTACAATCAATCCTATGCAAACCAAAGGATGAAATAACAAAGGAAAACAAATCAAACATCATCTACAAAATAAATTGTACCAACTAAGACAAACTCTACATCGGACAAAGCGGACGCCCGCTCCATCTACGCTTACATGAACATCAATTAGCAGTCAAACGCCACGATATCTCTTCACTTATATCAATACACGTGGATAACTACGGACACTCATTCGATTGGGAAAATGTAGAAATCTTAGCCATAGGAAACTTCAAAAACACCAGAGAATTTTTAGAAGCCTGGCACTCAGGTCAATCAGCAATCAACAAACATATTGAAATCAATCCAATTTATCAACCAATCAGGAAAATCATGCATAAATATAGGAACAAAAATCAAATCAATGGGAGACACAACCAAAACAAAGAAGTAAACAATGATAAATATAAGGTCAACAAGAACCAATCAACATCGAGGTGCACAGAACAAGCTGTTAAACACATATGGAGAAATTTGAACACTTCACTTCTATTTGAAGTTTGTGCAGATGATGTCGTTCAGAAGGACGATGAAAGTTGCACGACCAAACCATCCAGCTCAGAGAACAAAACTCCACCAAAAACGATGGTTTACTCAAAATTGACGTAATTTTTAGTTTCCTACTAGTATTATTAGATTTTTTATTGACAAGATAACTGAATTTATAAATCTGTTAAATGATATATAGGATTCTATATATAGAATGAACGTTTTGGTGTTGACTAACAGAAAGCAAGATACTAGTATAGGGGTTGTGGAGATTATTAAGTTTTTGATTGAGATCATGAACCGATTGATGTTAGACCATCATGATTGAAAACCTGGAAGCACTGGACGGCCGTTTCGTCCTATTGTGGGACTCCTCAGCAGTGTGCATCCACGATCCCGCTAGAGCGATTCGAACCCAGGGCCACAACTCCTATACTAGTAATCAACATGTGCTCACTAGTGACTAGCTTCGTGAGGGAATTCTCGGAGTTCTGCTGAGAAGCCGTGACCGGTGGAGCTAATCCTTGTCGGGTAGAGGCAGGTATCTACCTCAGTACAACGGAAGTTGGTCGCGCAATTTCGTGGACTGGTTGATGTTAGAAACTATCACCATTGGATGCCATTCATGATGTTAATCAAAAACTTAATAATCTTCGCAAACCCATACTGATAAATATATCATCATTCAAAATAATAGAAATCTTATTTTATGACTATACGATTTACAAAACTCATCCGATCATATCACATGACCAAGTGATTGCTTCATTACTTTATTTCCTCAGTAATAAAACAATGTCATCTATTAATTAGAATAATTGTGACAAACCATTTCAAAAATTGATCTTAGAAATGTTCCAATAGTATAATGTAAGTTCCTACGATCTAGATGTTTCATCAAGTTATCTGTTTTGTTGTTTGTTTTAGTACATCATTATGTCTATTGTGCGCACAATCTATTCAGGCGCGTTTATGAAAAGTTTACAACCTTTCGCCATACGGGATACAAAAAGGTACAATCAGTGACATCATGGTGGCTGGCAATATGCATTGAAACCAATGAACATTAATCAAATGTGAATTACCGAACTCCTAACGTGTAACTGATCATCATTCAAAATTTATCGTCACAATCGATCAAGATATAAGAAAAGGGGAAACTTGTTGAATGAATTTATGCTGAGAATTCTAGATTGTACCTAAAAAAATATAAAGTTGAATAAAGATTCTAATAATAATAATAAAAGGTGAATAATGTCAGTGATAAATAATCAATAAAAAAATAATCAATAAATTGTCCTTCTTACTATTCAACATTCAATTCTTATATGTGATACATTTTGTTGTTGTTGATTGGTTCAACTAATAGTGATGATGATGATGATGATGATGATGATGATGATGATGATGATGATGATGATGATGATGATGATGATGATGCTGATGATGATGATGATGATGATGATGATGATGATGATGATGATGATGATGATGATGATGATGATGATGAACGACACGGTTCGAGTACAAAAAAGGAAAACTTATTAGTTTTGTCAATTGTTCTGTAGGTTCAACTTACGTACAGCTTGTTCTTCTTCTTCTTCTTCTTCTTCTTCCCGGTTCACGTTAATAATGTCACATATAATGATTTCTAATAATGTTACAAAATTGCTTTATGAATTATTGACTTATTTTTTATTCTATCTCATTCTGATTGATTTTAAATGAGAGAAGTACCATTTATTGAATAGTGATTATGTTTATTATTTAATTTTGTCAATATTTAACTACTTAATTCGTAAATATAAAAAGGTAATGTTGATGTAAAACTAAGTGACTACTTTCAGCAAGATTCTATAAGGCTTCTCTACTCTACAATATCTAATCTTGAATTAGGAAAACTATAGTTCTCTTGTGAAAATGACATGAAAAAAAATTATCTAACACAAGAATATATTATCGATGGAAATAAGGTTTAATGATGACGATTGTTAATGATTATTAAAACATGACCATATTTAATGAAATATGGTTGATACAATTATTGATATGAATGAACAAAAAAGGAAGAAAAGAAGAAGAAGAAGAAGAAGCGGTAAAACTAAAAATGTAACCATGAGAAAATAGGCGGGAAGAAAGAAAGTGGATGTATGTATGTATGTGTCTAGGTATCCATGTATCCATGTATACTCGTATGTATGAAAATACGCATACGCACAATGCAAAACATCGGTAAGCTAACTCAGGAATGTGTATTTTATAAACTTATGAAATTTTCATGTCTCTAAGGTTTCCTAGTTTGTAAGAATTGTAATACATGTGATTAGTTAGAATGGGGAACAGCTACACCTATTAACAACCATGTATTCATACAGACACAGAAATGCATGATCTACTATTTACATGTTACAGAACAGTCTTGAAACTTAATTTTTCCTGTTTCAATCAAGTAAGAACTAACGTGATTATTCGTTATTATTAACAGATATTTTACAAGAGGTTGTAAATGGTCATCGAGAATATTTGCACAAACACTTTTGTATTCTTAGAAATTGTTTCATTTTCACACATTCATGTATATACGTCCACGAGTGTTCTATATGTATATGGTCAGTATTTCAGTTGACATTTTCCTAGTAATATTGTCGTGAATGAAGACTAAGTGACGATGATCAATTTATGAGTTCATACAAAGTTACAGAATATCTTCAAAAAAATATAAGAACTATACACTGAATACTTCATTTGTAAATCTTCTAATAATTGTCTTTCATATTCTGTATGATTCTTCTAATTCACAATTCATTTCTATTTCCCTTTTCTGTTTTCTTCAAGTGGACTTTCACAGCCTTCAGCGGTGAGGCTATAATGTATGGACGACTTTTGGGCAACGCTGAAATGATTTTGAGAGTGTTTACCTACTTCCTAGGTCTAAATGAGTGTTACAAAGAGGTGCGCAGAATTAGGATTTTGATTTACATTTGATGGTTAGTGTTAGGAATTAGACTTAGGGTTTTCATCACGAACTAACATCAGCTATAATACAAAGACTCTATTTAGCCAAATAAGTGAATGAATTCCGCGCCAAAATCTAAGACCTATTATCGTAAATCTGATTGGTTCATCCATAGTCTCGCCCCTTCTGCTGACATACATTCCTCTTCTTATTTGTGTTACACACTACTTATGTCAGTCGATATAAGTAACATAGATTATTATTAATTAATATTTATAGATCATTCAATGAAACGGTTATTTTCATTATTTCTCTTTGATACATTTTGTTACAGCTATTTTTTTTTGTATGTTGAGTAAATATTGATTTTCAACGTGATAATATCAATGAGTGAAATAGAGAAATAGAATAAAAGTGTTACGTAATCAGGGAATAGTTTCTATTTGATGTCAAGTACATGACATTTGGAAGCAAAAATAAAAAAAAACGGTGATTATTCCCATGATTCTTAATGGTTTTATTCAGTATTGTTTTTTATGTTACAATATAGAATACTTAGTCCAAAGTATTTCAACAAGTTTTCTTTTGTTATTGCTACATCAATCGTGACATTTTATAATGATAATGAACAATCATCTTGTAGATCATTTAAACAGGGTTCTCAACCTGTGATTACATCACAATTTTTGACACATATTACGATTTAATAGAAGTTGAAGATAATTCATCCTGTCAATGAATGATGTTCAGTTAGATGTTAGCAGTTCATGAATTGACAACTGAATAATGTTCACTCTTTTTTTCTTTTTAATGCAGTTGAATGAGTGATGCAAATAATCAACATAATGTTATGTTCTAATAAATGGAAACAGATAACTTGTTGAAATCTCTACATAACAAGAACCGGTAACTCAGATATATTCAAGAAGGTTGTCAGATGAAGAATTCAAAGATTAGTAAATCGTTAAACAAATTCGACATTTAAAAAAAAACAAAACAATCATGACTTATAAATGTTTTGAATTCTTCTAAAAATGATTCATATGGAAATGAATATAGTTGTCCAAATTAGTAAATATGTATAAATTGTATAATCCGATTTATAAAAAAAATAGGCAAAATTGAAGAATAGACTACTTACTAATTAACGATTTGACTAAATCAACTGGTTTATCAAAATATTTTCAATTTCAATGTTATCACATAAATAAACTCTGTTGGATGAATACGGAAAAGTTTTTTATTTTGGTTACCGTTTTTTTTAGCGAGCCAGTTTCCAACGGGATGAGGTCGTTAGTCCCATGCCGACCTCTCCTCATTTATCTGGGCTTGAGACCGGCGGTAGTTACAGAGGGTCAACAGAGGAGTACATAATACTAATTAGTTGAGTTATCCTGATTTGTTTTCGTTTTAAATTTCCTAAGGAACTAGAATTTGAACTCTTAATTAAATATTACAGTTTCTTCCTATTGTCACTTTTCACTAAAATCTTGTTGAATAGTTTATTGAGTTGTACATTTATCAGGAGAACTACAGGTTTTCAGTTTTATTCCATACCTTTCTTCTAAATAGTTCACCATATACCATCCATCTGTATTGACAATCTTATATATATATATATATATATATATATATATATATATATATATATATATATATAACCTTGATCAAAGAAATAATGTTAGTTGGTTGATATATATTCTGTCCAACAAACAGATTCATTGAAGTAAAGTCTTATTTTGTGAAGTTTTGTGTACACTTATGCTATTCCTTTCAAAATAATTTGTATTTGTTGCAATCTCCATACTCTATATCCATTTATATTGGTCATAATATTTCAGTCGATTTGTCATTTCACTCATTATATGCTCCTTAGATTTTATACTGAAACCATACGCACAAATTCAGTCTATCAATAATCATCCAGAAAGTGAGTAAAAATTGTACTTTACTTTATATGTTCATCAGCACAACAGATTAACAAATGTCATAGCGTCAATTTCAGATTACATAATAATCATATATTTTCACATTATCGATTGAGATCATGAATCGATGGATGTTGAACCACCATTGAAAACCTGAATGCACTAGACAGTTATTTCGTCATATTGTGAGACTCCTCAGCAGTGCTCATCCAATCACTATATTCATATTATATATGGATTATAGCTAGAATTCAATATAAAGATCAGTGTTTCAGCACATATATTAAGCTTCATTCCAATTCACCAGAGTTCTGGTGTTCATGTTCACACTGAAAATCGAATCTAGTATCATAAGCATTAAACATCTATGTGTTATCCACTGAGCTACTGAATTCAAATAATTTATAGATTATATAACATATATGAATTGTGAATTGTTTTTTTTTATGTCGAGTTGTGAAATTGATGAATTCCCATTAGTGTATCAACATTCTAAATAGATTCTCTCAATGACGACACTTATTTACAAATATCACTGTGAAACTCCACATTGGGATATAGGTAAATTCAAATGACGAGTCCCGAATACAACGAAACGAGTATCCTGACTTTAACTATTAGTCACCACATAACTTAAATGAGACCAATATGTCAAATTGAACGGTTCCAATTTAATCGAAGATTCTAAACCAATTCACTTTAGATAATTTTGATTGAGATCATAAATCGATAAATCTTAGACCACCAATGAAAAGATGGAAACATTGTACGTTCGTTTCGTCCTGATGTGAAATTCTTCGGTAATGAGCATTCATTATCCCGTACCTAAGGAACTCAAACCCGGAACCTTTGGTCTCGTGCGCAAGTGCGCCACGAAACAAGGAAAAAATTGAAGATTATATATAAACAAAAAAGCATACAAATATAATAATGATAAAATTCATTAGAATTATTTGAATAATTCGACTAATTTACAATTAATATTATGACTAGTAGCAATAGTAGTTGTCTGAGTAGTAGTATAAGTATTGCTACTAAAATTAGTATATTAGTAATATTGGAAGTAATAGTAGTAGCATTAGTAGGAGTATTATTAGTAGTATCAGTAATATTATGAATAATAGAATTAGTATTACTATTAGTAGTATTAGGATTTGTAGTAATATTATTAGTATTAATAGTAGTAATAGTAGTATTATGATTAGTAATATTAGTAGTAGAATGAGCATTAGTTATAGAAATAGTAATAGTATTTGTATTATTGGTATTTTTATTACTAGTATTAGTAGTACTATGAGTAGTAGTATGAGTATTAGTATTAATAGTGCTATTAGTACTATTATTATTAGTAGCACTCGTAGTAGTATTAGTAGTAGCATTAGTAGTAGTATTATTTGTAGTATTATTAGTAGAGTTAGTAGTATTGTTAAAAGTAGTACTATTAGTAGTTTTAGTATTAGTATTAGTGCTAGTGTGAGTAGTAGAATGAGTAGTAGTATGGGTAGTGCTCTTAATAATAGTATTAGTTTAGAGTTTGTAGTATTATTCGTCGTAGAATTAGTAACAGTATTAGTAGTGGTATTATTAATTGTGTGAGTAGTAGTATTTTTAGTAGTACTAGTAGTAGTAATAGTAGTAGTATGATTAGTAGTATTAGCAGTAATACTAGCAATACTAAAA